CTTCTCTAGAAAGCTAGGATGGTCACATAACTAGAGATTAATGTTCTCCATTTAATGGGCATATTTAATTTTTAGCTTCTCTTCCTGAATATATATATATAGTTATTTTAATGAGTAAATTTAATACATCCCTCTTATTTGCTTGTTCATTTAATTGAAGAAAATTAAATGTACTTATTTAATTAATAAATTTAATTAATAAAATAGTATGTATTTTTAGCTTTTTTTGTTTGTGTAATTCAAATACTAACATGCCAGCCTTCCTAATTTTATTAAGTTCTAGTTAGTAATTCTGATTGTACTATCTCTCTGACTTCCTTTTCAGAAGGTGATAATTTAATTATTAATTAAAAATAAGGAATCTGATCCTTGTTTCACCTTCATAATCAAGGTGTTCTGGGAGCTCCATATGAATGAGTTTTCACTGGGTTGATTAGGAAAATATTGAGACAGGAAATTTCAAATGCTATACTTAGAAATGAATTATGAACCAAAAGAGATACATTACTATATCAAAACAAAAGAGCTTTAATTACGAGTTGTTTACATATCTCTGAATAACTTAAGATCTTTATTAGCAATGTAATGAATTTGTTTCTTTAGACTTCATATCTGTGTTAGAAACTTTACTGAAAGGCTATGCAAAACTACCGTTATATAAATTCCCATAATGTAAATCAGTTAATTCACATGAACTATGAAACTTGAAAAGAAAACTTGAAACCACAGAAGTATCAGGATAACTAGAAAGTTGTGAAGTTTCACAGATAATAATTTTCTTCCCATTGCAAAGGTATTTCCTATTGGTGTTATAGTGAATGATTATCTCAAAATTAATACCTAACACCACAGTCCAGTTAAAATGGGCAATATTCATAGCAGATATTTGTAATAATAAGACACAGAAATGGTCAGTAAGTGTATCAAATGGTTTTCTGCACTACTTATCCTTGGGAAACCACAAAGGGACATCCTCTCTCCTGGGATGACTTCAATGACTTCTCTGAAAACTGACAAATATTAACAAGAGCTGGTATGAACATAGTGAAGAAGCAGCAGAGAGCACTACTGTGTAAGAATACAAATTAGTGAAGCCATTGTGCAGCATTGTGACAATTCCAAAATTCAAAATATGATTGCCACAAGATTCAGAAATCTCCTCATTTGTCATATCCAAAGTTCACATTAGTATATTGAAGAAACACCCACACTCGCATATTCACTGCAGTATTACTCTCAATATCCAAGAAATAGAAGTAACCCAAGTGTCTTTCAGCTGAAGAGTGGATTAGAAAAATGTGATATGTGTGGGTGCACAATGGAATATTCTTCAACCATAAAAATGAATAAAATCCTGTCATCTGTAACAATATGAATGGAAATTGAAATCATTGCAAAAGTGAGAGAAGTCAAGCAAGGAAATGAAGAGCTGTAAGATCTCAGTCAGAGATGGAATCTAAACTGTTCACCTCATAAAAGTTAAGAGTAGAGTAGTGAGAACCAGATGTTAGGGAAACACGGGGACACAGCAAATTATGGTGTAGGATTTAGAATCTGTAGCTCAACATGGCTTCGTTTTTTCTTTTTTTGAGTGTGTACTAACATGCTTAGTGACACTATCCTGTGTGCGTGTAGGAATAAGGGCTCACCAGAACAACAGTTTCACTGTACCTGAAAACAAAGGAAAGTGAAGGAAAAAGGATGGCCCAGGAGTTAGGACTTCTTGCCCAGCCATTTGCTTGGGTGAGTTAGTTTGTCTGTAATCCACTTTGCACAACTCACAAATAACTCAAGCAAATTGATTATGGCACGTTTGATCACTCAGAAAACTGCCATTCAGAAACACTTGAGAATTCACATGCTTCTGTCTGTATTTCAAAAATAAAAAAAGGGGAAGCGGTGGCTGTGAGGTGTCCTTGCAAGTAGGGGTGAATGCCTAAAGAACTGATTTTTTTCTCCAGATCCAACAAGGTGGCAGGCAGGAGAGAGCCAATTATAGAGTTTTCCTCTAATCTCAGCAGTGTCACCAACAAAACATTAAAAATTAAATGAATTTGTAATGTTAAATGGTTCAGTTTTAAGTGATAATAATAAGATTTTTTAAAAAACAACATAAAAACAAAAAGGAGAAAATCCATTATTTCCACCATTGGACAGAGCTGTGAGCTATAAAAGAATGGAAAGTCAGAGACACTTATGGTTGAACAATAAACAAAAATCAAAGTATTAAAGGGGCATGTAAAGGAGGTGTCAATGACTTAATAGTGGACACATCAGAAAACAGTTGAACAAATTACAAACACCATATGTAGGGCTGGAGAGGTGGCTCAGAGGTTAAGAGCAGTCAGTGGCTGCTCTTCCAGAGGTCCTGAGTTCAATTCCCAGCTACTACATGATGGCTCACAACCATCTATAATGAGATATGGTGCCCTCTTCTGGTGCATGTATACAGAATAAATAAATCTAAAACAACAACAAAAAACCACCATATGTGAACATTAGTATTAACTGATTGAAGTACTAGATGATTCAAATACCTGGAATGTTTGACCACAGCTGGTTTTTGTAGCTACCATCAACTTTTTATTTTTAATTTCTCTTAATTACACTAATTTTAGTGTAGATTGCAATGTTCCAAAAGAAGTTTAAAGTAGAACAGAAATTGTAAAAATGGCTGAAAATTATCCATGCATGTCTCACAAAATATAAAGTCATATGGAGCTGAGCGGTGGTGGCGCACGCCTTTAATCCCAGCACTTGGGAGGCAGAAGCAGGCAGATCTCTGTGAGTTCAAGGCGAGCCTGGTCTATAAAGCGAGTTCCAGGAAAGGCTACACATAGAAATCCTGTCTCAAAATACCAAAAAATAAAAAATAAAATAAAATAAATAAAGTCATGTGGAGATATTTATAGAAGATATGCAAAGACAAAATATAAGAACAATATTATATAAAGAGTATATAAAACAATAATTTTAGGTCTTGAAGAAACTGATTTCCTTTTGGAAAATTTTCTCTACACTTAAATAATAATAGCCATTAATAACAATTCTTCTACAAATAAAATATGAATCTGCCTTATTTTACAAAGATGTAGAAACAGAAATAAAGAATAAATTTGTGATAACAGCATGCTTGAAAGTTTATTCCCATCTTTTGTGCTGTAACACATTAAAATATGGCTTTCCAGAAAAACTAAGAAATACAAATAACACATTTCCTTTGATTTTCCTCTAGAGCAGTAGGGGTATATTAATCAATTATCTATAAATACACTGTGAAAAGAAGCTCACTAAATAATTTAATTAATATTATTATGATCACATATGAATAATTTGTTTGTAAAGGGTGTGTACCTTTTCATGTGGTAATTACATCAATTATAGGCAATTACTACACCTGCATTATCACCATTGGAAAATGTTTATTACAGTTATTGTTAAATAGATGGTGTGCTTGTTTGATGAGTTAAGTCAGTAACATGCTACTCTATAAAACAAGTCCAGAATATGCATGAAACTGTGATATGGTATTCACAAGTTATCTTCATTTATTATAGTGATTTATATCTACTAGACAGTGTTTTCCTGCTGTCTTAAATACTCTTTATTATATACTTACTTTGAAGATGATATAAAAAAGAATAATTGACAAAAAGATGGCTCAGCAAGTAAAGGTTTACTTTGTAACACTCATGAGCTAAGTTAGATCCTTTTAACCCAAGATACGATAGAAAAGACTGATCTCACACGCTTGTCCTCTGACCTCCACATTCATGCTTTGCCACATCTTTTCTTTCTGACCACATTTAGTAATAAATAAAAATATTTTAAGAGATTTATTTTTATAAAATACCAAGCAAAGTGTAACTTGTACTGACCATAGAGTCATGGATGCAGGGCCATCCATCAGAGTGTGGTTGACCTACCAAAAGCCACATCTTTGAAGAAAACTGAACACCCCTTCATGTCATTTACAACTTCTCAGTTGCTCCTGTGGGATCATGATTCCCTCTCAATCACCATAGAATACTGATTGACTTGATCCTTTGCAGGGCTTGCAGGCAAACACAGCTGCTGTGAGTTCATCAGTGTGAGCTGTCAGTTTTCCTCTTGAACTCCTCAGCCACTGGTGTTTACAGTCTTCCCACCCCTTTTCTTTTCTTTTTTTTTATTTTACAATACTATTCAGATCTACATAATAGCCACAGATTCCCTTGTTCTCTCCCTTCCTGCCCCCCTCCCCTTCCCCCCAGCACACCTCCCATTCCTACCTCCTCCAGATCAAGGTCTCCCCAGAGGACTGGGATCGACCTGATAGACTCAGTCCAGGCAGGTCCAGTCCCCTCCTCCCAGATTGAGCCAAGCATCCCTGCATAAGTCCCAGGTTTCAAACAGCTAACTCATGCAATGAGCTGGTACCCCTGCCTAGATGCCTCCCAAACAGATCAAGCCAATCGACTGTCTCACCCATTCAGAGGGCCTGATCCAGTTGGGGGCCCCTCAGCCTTTGCTTCATAGTTCATGTGTTTCCATTCATTTGGCTATTTGTCCCTGTGCTTCATCCAACCTTGGTTTCAACAATTCTCGCTCATATAAACCCTCAGCTTTCTCACTAATTAGACTCCCAGCACTCCATCAGGGGCCTAGCCGTGGATGTCTGCATCCAGATTCCTCAGTCCTTGGATGGGGTTTATGGCACAACTATTAGGGTATTTGGCCATCCCATCACCAGAGTAGGTCAGTTTGGGCTGTCTCTCGACCATTGCCAGCAGTCTTTTGTGGGGGTATCTTTGTGGATTTCTGTGGGCCTCTTTAGCTCTTTGTTTCCTTCCTTTTCTCATGTGGTCTTCATTTACCATGGTCTCCTATTCCTTGTTCTTCCTCTCTTTTCTTGATCCAGCTAGGATCTCCCGCTCTCTTTCCCTCTACCCTCGCCCTTCATTGCTCCCACGCATGTCCAGGCTGTTCATGTAGATCTCATCCATTTCTCTGTGTCTTTCTTGCTTCAGCAGCACATATACTAAAATTGGAACGATACAGAGAAGATTATCATGGCCCCTGCGCAAGGATGACACCCTTTTTCACAATACTTCCTGAGCTTTGAAGAGAGGGATGTGATACAGATGTGCCATTTGTTACTGAGGACTTCGAGAACACTTGACCTCTGCACTTTTACCAATTGTGAGTTTCTGCATTAACCACCATCTGAGACACTTCTCTGATGAAGTTTGGGAGCTGTGTTGTTTTTTTGTTAAAGAGAATGTATTTATCAAAAAAATATATAGCAATAGGTTCACCCCTGGACCTGTGAGCTCACAAATGATGAGGTTTTATTCAGAGTTAAAGCACAATACATGTGTTGGACCCCAAAATTTAGGGTCTCAAGTGGGTGCCCCAAGAACCCAGACTCCAGTCCAGTTGATGTAACAGCAGGAGGATTTATTAAGCTTCTATATAGAAGGGCTCCTCTGCTCCCAAGAGTAAGAGTCACATCTTACTGCAGCCACATGGGGGTTTTTAAAGGAAAAACCCACAAAAGCCATAAGATTACAATTCCCATACAATTTTGTCTCACAAGATCATGGTCTGGGTACAGAGTGATCACAGAGGGGGTACAGTTATGTCAACAGGTACATTTTTCCTGAAACCTCAAGGCGGGTATCAGGGCAGGAGTGGAGTTTACACAAAGGTCACAGTGGTCCTTCCTGGAATACCTGCAACTGTCCCAGTCACAGTTGAGCACATCTCTTAACAGAAATCTCTTTACATTGTTATATGGTTGCAGGGAAGATTGAACAATGTCTAAGTCAGCTTGCTCTTGGAACTAGATTTTTAGTTTCTCATTTCCTGGTACTTGAAGTTTCTCTTTTTCTGAGGCTTGGGGGTGTAAGCCTGAAGGGCTAGGGTCTTTCATATGTATGTATTTATTCAATTCATATGTTGGGGTTTTTTTTTTTGCATTTTTGTTTGTTTGTTTGTTTGTTTGTTTGTTTGCTTTTTAGCCATGTTTCTTATATCCCAGGTTAAACTCAACTTGCTGTGTAGCCAAGAATTACCTGAATCTTCTGATCCTCTTGCTTCTACCTCCTGGGTTCTGGGCTTGCAAGTTTGAGCCACATGCCTAGACTCTCAAAATTTTTTGTAGTGAGCTTCATATGCACCTTCTGAATTTTCAAACGTTTGGTACAGAATCTGGCACCTAGAAGACACTCAGTAATTACTGCTAATATATTTTTGTCTGTTCTGAAGTATCTCCTCTTACAGAGGTAGTTTAAAGCTAGGTAATCTGGTAAGGGAAGAAGTGTTATATTTGTAACCACAGTAAAACTGTAATACCTTGTAGGCCAGTCCTCACATAGTGTCATATCAAGACTAAATAGAAATGAGACAGAAGAGATGATCCAATGAGTTAAAATGTTTGTTGCGCAAGCATGGGGACCTGAATTCAGATGCCCAGCACTCACACAAAGCTTGGCATTTTTATTAGTTCTTTGAGAATTTCATGCATATATTTAGATAATATTCATCTTCTGCCCTCCAACTCCTTCTAGGTCCATCATGTTCCCTATACATACAGCTTTGTGTCATTTTCTAAAAGTCTAATTATGCTGCCATGTCTTCTGGGATGCATGGCCTCCCACTTGTACAGAAAAAGTTGTACATTACATTCCACTTTTTTTCCCCTATATTCAAGACTCATTCTCAGCCTTCTGGAACTATGAATATAGTATGTCTCAATGTGCATTTCTTTAAGTTCACCATGTATTTAGTTAATTGATTTTATTATATTTATATTTGCATATTAAATGTTTTCTCAGATTTTTAGGATTTTTTCAGTTATTCATTATTTCATTATTTGTTTAGTAGAAAATTATCTTTGCAATTATGTTTAATTAATTGAAATTAAGTATAATTTTTTGTTATTCCTTGTGCTTTTGGGTGTCATGTCCAAATAAAATATTTTCAAGTCAAAATTTGATTCCTTGAGTTACAGGATTTTTGAGCCACCAAGCATGGGTGCTGGAAATATATCTTGGGTTCTCTGGAAGATCAATAAGCCCTCTTTATAACTGAACCCTCTTTTCAGCCCTAGTAAACACAAACACCATAGATAGATAGATAGATAGATAGATAGATATAGATATAGGTATAAATATAGATATAGATATAGAGAAACAATATATAATATAATATTATACATAATCAAAAGATATATATATATATATATAGTTGAAAATAAAAATGAAGTAAACATCAAGAAATCTGTTTCACTCTTCCTCTCATTTCTATTTTTCTTCCTAGTATGGAAATCAGTATAAAAGACAAACAAAATGTGTATCCTTCCTACCATGTTTCTATACCTTAAATATTAGCATATATTCCCTTTTAGTCACTTAATCCTCTCCCTTATTCACTTCCTATGTTGGGGCTTTGTTCCTCCTTTCCTCATGGGATCTTATAAATATTTTAAGATTTTCTATTTTCACCATTGTTTTTTCTACTTCCTTTGCTGATTTAAACTCTCCCATTGCATTGAGAACGAAATATGTTGTGGGATAATACTCTTGTACACTGTAAAAATTTGTCACTCAAATTGGTTTAATAAACACTGACTGGCCAGTAGCCAGATAGGAAGTACAGGTGGAGCAACCAGACCAGGAGAATTCTGTAAAGAGGAAGGACAGATTCAGGTGTCACTAGTCAGATGCAGAGGAAGCAAGATGTGAAGGCAGAACTGAGAAAAGGTACCAAGCCACATGGCTAAGGTAGATAAGAATTATGACTTAATTTAAATGTAAGATCTACCAGCTGAGCATTTAGAAATAACACTAAGTCTCTGAATCAATTATTTGTGAAGTGGCTGCTGGGTATTTGGGAACATGCAGGTGGGAGAGAAACTTCCACCTACAGAAATCTGAATTCTTTATCTGGGGAGCTGTAAGGTGCCTTCTGTGGGTATGCACGCCTTCCCTGAGCCTCTGATGTTACACTGTGCCACACTCTTACATACCACAAAATTATACCTATGTGATTCTTTTCATTATGGACAGTTTAAAATCAGTTCTTCAAGAAATCTCCATTCTATATCTAAATTGCTTGGAATACTTGAAGATATAGTAATAGATTTAGGTTATTGTCTGTTTGGATGCAAAAGAGATGCACTTTGGATGTGCAAAGCAAGCTCTGTTACACTCTCACAACTCATAAGTCTAATGTGACTTAAAATGTTAATTTCAGGTCATTTTATCTGTTCTCCATCATGAAGGAAAAACTGTATCTAATAGTGTGTTAAAGAAATACAAAATACAAGTGGATTTAATAGTGTGCAGTAATCTTTTAGCTCACTACTCTCCTTCCACTCACCTGATATTCATTCACTCACTTCCACTATGCAGCTGATGCTGACATTATGAGCACCTGTCCTTGTCAGGTGACGCTTTGGAAGACATACTTAAGAAGTACTTGTCAACAATGAGGAAGTCAGCCTGCAACTGAGGTACAGTATTGATATCCACATCTTCTGTTCTTCCCTACTGAGTTTTACTCACTGCAGAGTAGGAGGATCAGGGGCATCATAAACAGGGGAAGCCTGAATGCAAGTAATTTGAGAACTACACCAGTAGACAGCTTTCTCTTGGTACAACAAATGCTATTTCTTTGTATGTGTTGGCAAAGGCATTGCCAAATTTCTCATCTGGAACAGTTATCTTCACAACTGTCCAGAAGTGCAGAGAACTTCTATGATTAAACACACATAGAACCAGAACATTTCTTCTGTGATTTGATTAACTTTCAATTCTCCTTAATTCAGGATAAAGCAAGCCCCAGAAACTAATACTTAAATTTGAAGAAATGGGTGGAAGGGACATGGTTGCTTTTATAGGAAAAAAATGTTCAAAATAAACCTAACAATGATGAATAATTAACTATCAATGTCTTACTTTGTCAAGGTTTGTAAATAGTGTGTGAATATGATGTTGGTTACCCTCTTCAATAGTAATTATTTTTTCTGTTGATTCTCTGGGCTACTCCTGAACAATGGGAGCTTTGAAATGGAAAGGAGCTTGTATGCCAGCATGTGTGCTCAGCTGTGCTGTAATTGTCTTAGATGTGAAGTAATTGAATGAAAACAAACAAGAAGAGACTATGTCCTCAACCTCAGACACTGAAAATGAGACCAGCCAAAGCAAAACTGACAGAGAGGGGGAAAGCAGAACCCATTCCAAACTAGCTGCAGAGGCTGTGTGTGTTTGAATGAGATATTCTACAACAGAATGTACCAAAGCCCTTGCTGCTGGCTCCAGGTTGTCACTTGACATAAATGGACAGAGAGTTTCAAATAATCACAGCTTTCCTGTCTTCAGTAATCTAGACTGTGTTAATATTTAACTACATTTTTTAAATTTCTTAGATAGGAAAATGAAAAAAGATGATGAAGATTTACCGTGGCATTAAAATTGTAGAGCCTTTAAAGCTACAATCTACCAAACATGTGGTTTTTCTGCTTCTGCCATTCAACTCAAATGACTCCCCAACTCTCCCTTTATAACCACTTTCCAATGTGAGCCTCCCAAACCACAGCATTTCTTCACTCCAACTTCTTATGTGAATTAATTTGGGAACTAAAAGCAAGAACACAAACAACTGAAAAAATTGATGCACACACACAAACAAAATGAAATTATGAAAACCAACTTGATGTTTCCATGACCAAAGTGATATAGTCTTACCATGTAGTTCTGGTGGGCAAGCAGGGAAATTTGTAACCAACAACTAACTTGAGGGTCAGTATCACATACTAGGTCCTGGGGTTCTTACATAGTAACTTATGGTTTGCTTTGTGCTTCCTTTTACTTACGTAATTTCTACCCATGCCTATATTCCTTGCTGTTCTGCCATCTGATTTGCTCTCTCTGTCCAGCTATATTACTTCCTCTTCCTGCCCATCTCTGTCACATTCTGTCTATCTGTACAGACCTTCAGACCTCATGGTTAACTAGTGTTGGAATTTAAGGTGTGTGCCACCACTCACAGAAATCCAGACAGATCCCTGACTGCCAAGTAATAGGATTAAAGGCATGTCCTACCATTGCCTGACTTCT